TGTACAAGAGCAAAACAAGCATCAAAACATTTAGCAGCCTTAAATTTCACAATCACTCAGAATTACATAGAAATATTGAAATACTCTAGTCAGCCTTGGCTGTGAATAGTTCTTCATGTAGAAATTTTTCCTTTTGCCAGCCAGTACACAGCAAGAATTGCATTTTCCCTTCCATCATGGCATCCATGTATTCAAAAAATACTTTGCTTTTTTTTTAAAAGTTAAACTCAGAGAAAGAGTCAAGAGTAACATGTTTTAAAAACAAAACTACAAAATATGCTGTAAAGGACAATGAAAATATCTAAAGTCTACTTGTGTGAGGCAGAAGCCATGGGGGAACAATGGCAGATTACACCAGTGACACAGAGATGGGAACTAATTTTGTGGGAGGAGAGAGAAGAATATAAATGGGGTTTTGATCAATTATAGTGTCTCCCGCCTGTTGGCCGCAACACAACAAAAATAAGTAGTAATTCTTCAAAGCAGATGTACACAAACCTAAGCAGGATTTAGCTTCTTTAATATCTGAATGTAAAAAGTCTGCTGTCCATGATTCTTTAAACCCAGCTACGACTTGGGAATTTGTAAGAGATCTCTCCCTTTTCTTGGACGAGAAGTGATTTAAAGTGGGAACACTAGAAATCCAGAGAATGTTGAATACTTCCAGCCTCCCATCAAGTTTCCTCTCTCCAGTTTTAGATAAGCTCTGTCTCCTTTCTCCATCTGAATCAGGACTCCATTGCTAGCAGCTTCTCGGGTCACATCTTGGTCCCCTGCAAAGGCAGAAATCACTGGCCACCCATTTAGCATCAAACTCACCTAAAGAGCAAGATAAAACAAAGCCCTCTGTCAATTAAAGTCAGACAACGACACCGCCGGGGCTCGCCTAGCAGGAGAGATGCTTAGTTAAGAAAAGGCCTCTTTTGACAGCTGAAACTCCAGTCCCATAAAAAAAGAAATACCAATCTGAACCCAGCTAAGGTATGTACTCTAAAGGAAGAAGTCTTTCACTGCTGTTTTAGACCGACAACCACATCAAAATACCCAGTGCATATAAAGCAGAACATTGATCCTATTTTGGAGAATTTCAATAGGGTGCCTGTGTTTTCAGGCTATGAAAAGAGGTCTGCTTGTACTTATTGAAAGATGGCTTTATGCGAAACCTCAGAGACAGCGAGCAGCAGAGCCACAGCCGCCGGAGTCAGCGCCTTTGAAGTGTATTCAAGAGGTAGTTTTCCTTTGTTAGGCAGCAAAGACAATATGATACAACACAGTCAATAAGCTCTGCTCAGCTCGCATTAATGATCCCGGGACTGCATACCCCACATTAATAATACACTACCTGCCGAATCTAGAGGTGTGAAGCCACTTGCACCAGAACAGTGCTATATAGCTGCACATTCACCTTTGCAATGTGCATTGCTATGCAGTCATTCCTGTCTGGGTTATGCTACCTGGCTCCAGGCCGGTAATTTATTAACCCTACCTAGAGGTGTGTATGCATCGAACCACATACAAAAGGCATGTATAAGGTAGCTGCATACACATGCACAGATTCGTTACTGCATCCATGCCATAGGCACCTCCGTGAACCCCAAATCCCTTTGAAACCTTCTGCCATCAGAGAGCGAGTGAGGAGCCCACTGGGGGCCGCGGTTCCCACGGGCTCTGCTCAGGGATGCTCCCGCCGGCGCTCCGCGGCACTGGGCAGCCCGCGGGCCCGGGCAGGCTGGGAGGGGGCGGTAGGCAGCCGTCGGGCGATCACCTCCCGTCCCGGGACAGCTCATGCGGGCAGGGGCCGAATGGAGGCCTGGTGGGGCTCCGCGGCCCTTTGGGCACCGTCCCCTCGAACGGTGGGGACGCCGCGGGTCTGCGCTCTCGCGGCGGTCCCCGCACGGCCGCCCGCACGGCCCCGGCCCCGCCGGGCCGCGGACCCGTCCGCTCCCTCCCGCGGTGCCCGCGGAGCCAGGCGACGGCGCTCGGGGCTGACCTGGATGGTTTGCCTGTTGTACACTTTCACCACGTGAAAATTGAAACTGTAAATCCCTTTCCTGGGCGCTATGAAAGTGCTCCGTTCCGAGTCGAAGTTGCTGCCGATATTCACTAGTACCTGGAAGGGAAGGGCACCGTCAGCACCAACGCGGGGCCACCGCCGTCCAGTCCCGTTGCCCCGCGGCCGCCCCCGGCGCCCCCCCTCCCGCGGGCAGGGCCCCGCGGGGCGGCGCGTCCCCGGCCCGGCCCCGCCGCCTTCCCCGGCAACTTCTCCCGCGGCGCCGCGCCGGGAGCCCCCCGCGCCCTCCCCACCTGGTCGAAGTAGATGATCATGGTGCGGTTGCTCATCTCGGAGGGCTCGTGGTTGGTGCTGCGGATGGCGGAGAAGGCGACCTTGGCGCTGCCGGAGCGCACGGAGATGCCGAGCGCCGTGCCGGTGGGATCGGAGGTGGGGTTGGAGTCGCACACCACGAGGCACTTGCCCTCCAGCACGATGGGCTCCGTCTCGTTCTGCCCGCACGCCACCCACGCCGCGCCCAGCAGCAGCCCCAGCCCCAGCCCCAGCCCCGGGCCCCGCATGGCGCCGCGCTCCCTTCGCTCCGCGCCGCTCCGCGCCGCGCCGAGCGGCACGTCCAGGCTCCGCTCCGCTCGCTCCCTCTGCCCCGCCGCGCTCAGAGCGGGGCCGGGCGCGCCCCGCCGGCTGGGAAGCGGCCGCGAGGAGGAACGGGAGCGCCGGCACACATAGCGCGGCGCGGAAGCGCTGCGGGTGCGGGAGCGGGACCGGGCGGAGCGGAGCCGCCCGCCGCGCCGCGCGGGGCTGAGGGAGGCGGCGGGAGGCGGCGGCGCTGCCGGGGCTGCCGGCGAGCACAAAGACGGCGCGGGGCGCGGCCCCGCCTCCCCACCGG